ACAAAGATATGCATATTTCTTTTTCTAAGTTCATATGATGAGTGTGTACGTGTGTGTTTTAAAAGCATAATGACATTAAGGGACTTGAGATCACTCTTGGAAACCCTATACAGGGTTCCCACGAATCAGAACCAATTTGATGACAATTAATAACAATAACATGGAAATACACAGAACATTAACACAGGGGCTAGGCCAGCTATAGAGTGATGGAAAAGCACTGGCAATTTATTGGAGTCAATCGGGTTTCTTGATAAGCTGCTTTGGACAGTCTGGAGCCCTGGGTTCAAGGCTTATGCGCCTATTCCCTTACCTAACCATGGTACTTTAGCCACATGCCTGGCATTTTGCTTCTCCTCTCAACTCTTCCATTTCCTCATTCCAGCTCTCCTAGGCACAACCTAACAATAGGACCTCTACATATCTTGGACCTTGGGTCAGGCGCACCTTAGTCCTCAAGCTGACATCTTTGCTCTTAAAGACTTTAAAAAGGCCTTGTGCAGCAGATTTGCCTAATGCAATATGTTGTTTGATTTCTTGACTGCTGCTTCCATGAGTATTGATAGTTAAGAATAAAGAAGAATAATGTCTTAGACAACTTCAATCTTTTCTCCATTGATAAGAATGTTGTTTATTGGTCCAGTGGTGAGGATTTTTGTTTTCTTGACATTGAGATGTAATCCATATCGAAGGCTGTGCTCTTTGATGCTCATTAGTAACTATTTTAAGTCCTCTTCACTTTCAGCAAGCAAAGTTGTATCATCTGCATATCACAGGTTGTTAATGAGTCTTCCTCCAATCTTGATGCCATGTTTTTCTTCATAGAACCCAGCTTCTTGCATTATTTGCTCAGCATACAGGTTGAATAAGTATGGTGAAAGAATACAACCCTGTTGCACATTTTCCCATTCAGTGCTCCCATGCTCTGTTCGAACAACTGCCTCTTGGTCCTTATACAGATTCATCATGAGCACAACTAAGTGTTCAGAATATTCATACTTTGCAATGCATTCCATTGCAAAATATTCACACTTTGCAAACTTTGCATGACATAGCTTGTCATGATCCACACAATCAAAAAACTTTGCATAGTCAATAAAGCACAGGTAAACATCTTTCTTGTATTATCTCCTTTCAGCCAAGATCCATCAGACATCAGCATGATAACCCTCATTCCCTGTCCTCTTCTGAATCCAGCTTGAAACTCTGGAAGTTTTCTGTCAATTTATGCTTGCAGCCATTTCTGTATTACTGTTAGTAAAACTTTACCCGCATGGGATATCAAAGATATTGTCTGGTGATTTCCACATTCCATTGGGTCACCTCTCTTTGGAAGGGGCACATTTACCGATCTATTCCAATCAGTCGGCCAGATAGTTGTCCTCCAAATTTCTTGGCATAGATGAGTGAGTGCCTCCTGTGCTGCCTCACTTTCTTGAAAGATTTCAATTTTTATTCCATTAATTCCTGGTGCCTTGTTCTTTGCCAATTCCTTCAATGCACCTTGGACTTCTTCCTTCAGGATCATTGGCTCTTAATCATATGCTACCTCTTGAAATGGTTGAACATCAACAATTTCCTTTTGGTACAGTACTCTGTATATTCCTTCCATCTTCTTTTGATGCTTTCTGCATCATTCAATAATTTGCCCAGAGAATCTTTTAATAAAGAAAGTCGAGGCTTGAATTTTTTTCTTCAGTTCACTCAGCTTGAGAAACACTGAGCGTGTTCTTCCTTTTTGGTTTTCTGACTCCAGATCTTTGCACATTTTGCTATAATATTTGAATTTGTCTTCTCAAGCTGACCTATAAAATGTTCTGTTCAGCTGTTTTACCTCCTCAATTCTTCCATTTGCTTTAGCATCTCTATGCTGGAGAGTAAGTTTCAGAGTCTCTTCTGATATCCATTTTGACCTTTTCCTTCTTTCTTGTCTTCTTAATGACTTTTTGCTTTCTTTCTGTATGGTGTTCTTGTCATCCCACAACTCTTTGGTCTTTAGTGTTTAATGCATCCAATCTGTTCTTCAGATGATCTCTAAATTCAGGTGGGATATATTCAAGGTCATATTTTGGCTCTCATGGACTTGTTTTCATTTTCATCAGCTTCAGTTTTGAATTTGCATATAAGCAATTGATGGTCTGTTCCACAATCTGCCCATGGCCTTGTTTTGAAAGATGATATGGAGTTTTTCCATCATCTCTTTCTGCAGATGTAGTCAATTTGATTTCTGTGTATTCCATGTGGTGAGGTCCGTGTGTAATCATCTCTTATGCTGTCTAAAGAAGGTATTTGAAATGAACAAATCATTGATTTTGCAGAATTCTATCATGCAATCTCCAGCATCATTTTATCACCAAGACCATATTTTCCAACTAATGATCCTTCCTGTTTATTCCCAACCTTTGCATTCCAATCACCAGAAATGATCAATAAATTCTGATTACAGGTTTGATCAATCTCAGATTGAAGAAGATGGTAGAATGTTTCAATTTCGTTTTCATTGACTTTAGTGGTTGCTGCTTAAATTTGAATAATAGTGGTATTAACCGGTCTTCCCTATAGGTGCATGTACAGCATTGTACCTCATGATTGATCTGGATATGTTCTTTTTGACAATGAGTGCAACAGCATTCCTCTTCAGTTTGTCATTCTCGGCATAGTAACCTATGTGGTTGTCAGATTCAAAATGGCCAATACCAGTCCATTTCAGCTCATTAATGCCTAAGATACCAATGTTTATGTGTTCCATTTCATTTTTGACAATTTCCAGTTGTCCTAGGTTCATACTTAATACATTCCATGTTCTAATTATTAATGGATGTTTTCAGCTGTTTCTTTTGCATAGTCAATAAAACACAACTAAACATCTTTCTGGTATTCCCTGTTTCAGTCACGATCCAGATGGTGCTAGCAATAATATCCCTTGTTCCATGTTCACTTCTGAAACTGGCTTGATCCTCTGGAAGTTCTGTGTTAATGTATGCTTGCAGCCGTTTCTGGATTAGTTTTAGTAATACTTTATTCACATGGCATAACAAAGAGATTGTCCTATGATTTCTACATTCCCTTGGGTCCCCTCTCTTTGGAATGGGCACAAATATAGATCTCTTCCATTCAGCTGGCCAGATAGTTGTCTTCCAAATTTTTTGGCATAGATGAGTGAGTGATTCGAGTGCCACAAAAGTTTGTTAAATGGTTTCAATTTGTATTCCACTAATTCCTGGTGCCTTGTTCTTTGTCAATGACGTCAATGCACTTTGGATTTCTTCCTTCAGGATCATTGGCTTTGATCATATGCTACCTCTTGAAATGGTTGAACATTGACCATTTCTTTTTGGTACAGTGACTCTGTGTATTCCTTCCATCTTCTTTTTATGTTTTCTTCATCCTTCAGTATTTTGCCCAGAGAATTCACCAATAACACAAGTCTAGGTTTGAATTTTGCCTTCAGTTTCCTCAGCTTGAGAAATGCTGAGCATGTTCTTTCTTCCCTTTCTTGTTCTAACTCTAGGTCTTTGCACATGTTGTTATATTTAACTTTGTCTTCTGGAGCTGACCTAAGATATGCAAATGAGACAACAACACTGCATGCTGGAAGCAAAGAGGATTTGAAATACAATATGTACTGGCGGAGATCAAAGACCACAGCTTTGAGTACTGATTGCAACTCAATGTAAAGAAAATGAAAATCCTTACAACTGGACCAGTATATAATATCATGATACACTAAGCAGAGAAAAAAATTGACGTTTTCAAAGATTTCATTTTGCTGGGATCCACAATCAGTGTTCATGGAAGCAGCAGGTAAGAAATCAAACAAAGGATTGCATTAAAGAACTCTGCACAAGTCCTCTTTAAAGTGGGAAAATGTCAGTTTGAGAGCTAAGATGTGCCTAACTCAAGTCGTGGCATTTTCATTTGCCTCATATGCATGTGTAAGTTGGACAACGAGTAAGGAAGACCATAGAAGAATTGATGCATTTGGTTATGGTGTTAGAGAAGAATATTTAAAAAACAACTGCCAGAATAAACAAATCTGTGTTAGAAATTCAGCCAGAATGTTCCTTAGAAGATAGGATGGTGAGAATTCATCATTATACTTTAGACATATTATCAGGAGGGATCAGTCCCTGGCGAAGGACATCATGCTTGGTAAAGTAGATGGTGGTGGTGGTTGTTTGCCAGCGAGTGGTTCCGACTCATAGCAACCCTGTATAGGGTTTCTGAAGATGTGAATCTTTAGGGAAGCAGAAAGCCTGATCTTTCTCCCACCCATCAGCTGGTATATTTGAATGGCTGACCTTGCAGTCAGCAGCCCAACATGTAACCGCGTGGCAGCAACAGTAGGCTTAAACAGAACAATTGTGAGGATGGCTCAGGTCCCGGCAGTGTTTTGCATAGGATGGCTGTGAGTCCAAACCAACCTGACAGTGCTTAACAACAAAATCAGCTTTTAAAGGAAATGGTTTATAGATTCTGGCCAGCATTTTACTAATCAACTTGTAACTCCCTATTACCTGTCGAGCTCTTTTATACACCCAGAGGAGTTTAGGAAGAAAGGTCTGGCATTCTTCCCAAAATCAGTCATTGAAGTCATATTGGACATAGGTCAACTCTTAACACACACACGCAACTGTTTTCTTCTTTTTAAAATATATATCACCTAAGCCAAGGAGGTTTCTTACAGTGTCTCATTTTATTCTTTCAACTGTGCTGTAAGTATGCTATCGTCCCTTTACAGATAAAAAACCCTGGCTGTTCCCTGCTCTCCCTGCTCTGTTGCCCTAGAATCTGACTTCCCCAAATATTAGGTTCCCTCTCTCCTCCTTGTGCTGGGACAGCATTCCTGACAGCTGGACTTGTACCTGGTCGGTGCCCACATGGCTCCTTGCCAGGGGCAGGCCTCGCAGTTGCCCTTTGGAGCAGGGCGGACCAGCGGGTGGACAAGGACCAGGCCGGGCGCCTCCTGCCTGGGGACTTCACTCTCGCGCGGCCTGGACATGGAGCGACCAGCGCCCGCAGAAGTGCAAATGAGCCAGACCATCCTGCCGGCTCACGCTAACTCGCGCGGTGAGCTGAGCGCTGGGCAGCTGCTCAAGTGGATAGACACGGCCGCCTGCCTGGCAGGTAGGGAGCACAGTGGGGTCTTGAGGGCAGGATGTAGGATGGAGGAAGGCTGGGGTCCCAGGGGTCATGGAGTGCCCGGGTGGGGAGAGCGTGCATGGTGGGGTCGTTCAGGATGGCAGGAGATGGTCCGGGATGTGAGAGGCGGCTTGGGACCTGGAGGTGAGGTATACTGGAGTAAGGAAACGGGGAGGGCACGGATCCCGGAGGGTGAGAACCAACAGCAGAGGCCTAACACATCACCCTGTGACAAGACAGGATTGGGGACCAATCCTAGGAATGCAGGAGAGGAGGTTATTTACAGAGAGAGGTTGTGACCCTAATGACAACAGCCAAGGACAGTAATGAGTGAGAAGTCATCCAACACTGGGAATGACGAATGACCTGGGTCAATTAGTGGTTCGCAAACTTTTTGGTCTTGTTATTATTGTTAAATGCAGTCGGGTGTTTCTGACTCACGGCAACAACCCTGTATAGGGTTTCTGAGGAGTGACTGGTAGGTTTGAATGACTGACTTTTCAGGCAGCAGTCCAATGCTTATCCTACAGCACCATACCAGGACTTCCTATAAATCAATGAGAATTCCAGTCAATTCTTTGATATTCACCATATTTGAAATTTTTAAAGATTTTAATTCATTTTTAAAGAACAAGAATAATTCCATGCATGACATATTAACATAAATTACATATTTTTATAAAAACTGTTTTATACGACATAAGAAATGTAGCCAGACAAGTAGTACTGATTGACATTTTTGCAAATCTATTTAGCATCTGGTTTAATAAAAGATTGCTGAGTTCTCATATTTGCTCTTGCATTCAATTTGTTGCCTGTCATACACACCCTCAATGACTTGGATTGCACAGTGACAGCAACAATAGCAATTTTGTGCGGATGGTAGAAGACCAAGCAGAGTTTCCTTTTGTTGTACAAAATGTTGCTCACTATGAGTCAGAACTGACGCAACAGAACCACCATCAACAATGTGAGTGTTGTCCACTCTTAGTGACCCTATGTAGGGTTTCTGAGGAGCAACTGACGAGTTTGAACCACCAACCTTGCAGTTCAAATTGACCTTTCGGTCAAGTGCTTATCCCATCGCTCCACACCAAGACCCTTTCATCAACAATGCCCTGTATAATCTCTAGACAACTCCACTGTACTCAGGTTTTGCCCTTGAGAACATCTCAACTACTGAGAACCTTGGACTTGTATACATCTCTAAGGATAGAGGTTTTACTTTAAAATAAAAAAAAATTTTAAACAGGTTGTAAGGCAAATGCAATGCTAATTGAAAGGGTGAGTATTTTTGAGAAGTGAGCTTTTTCTGCCCTTTGCTTACTTATCTTCAGATCAGTAAGAAAAAGAATTTATTGTGCATTTAAATATCTCCATCCTTTACTTCTTTAAAGCTTCCTGTAGCGTTACTGCCTGTATCCTGTTTCTCTGAGGTCAATTCTCCCCCACAGAAGCCACAGTAAGCTGTAACTACGTGGGTCAGATCATCCCACTCTTTGGATTAAAACCTTTCGATGCCTTCCCATCATACTAAAAGAAAGTCCAAATCCTTTACCATTTCTCACAGATGCTACGTGAAGTTGAAGATTTATTTTGCAAGGGGCCAATCAGATAACAATAAATGTGGGATGAATTTAGGTTAGGACATTAGGGAGCTGTGGTTACCTGGTAAATTGTAGAGTGTTTTGCCAAAAGATTTATTGTTAAGAAAAATTGTAACATCATGCTTCCCAGACAAGCATGATGGACCAGGCCACACGTATGGTTTGGGTCTCTTCTCCTATTTGTTTGGCAATACTCCTCTTTTGCGTCAGAAACTCTTCCAGCATTTCCCAGAATATGCCACACTCTTCTCTGCTCAGGACCTTTGTACCTGCTCTTTTCTTTGTCTTCACACTCTTCTGGTGGCTATTTCCATGCAGTATATGTTATTACATATCATTTCCTAGCAGAAGCCTTTCCTAAACACCTGTTTACATTTACATCACTTTATCACAATGCCCTTTTCTATTTACTTCACGTTGTTGTTGTTAAGTGCCGTCGAATTGGTTCTGACTCATAGTGACTCTGCATAAGGTTTGGGAAGAACAGCTGGTAGGTTTGAACTGCCAACCTTGTGGTTAGCAATCCAGTGTCTGTTCTACAGCATCACACCTGCACTAAATATAAACCTATTGAATGTAAGAATGGATGGCTGAATGGATGGCTGAATGCAGAGTTTGGAATCTCATTTCTGTAAGCATGGCAGCCATTGTACCAAATGACTTATAGACTCAACAAATGTGCAGTTAAAAGTAAAATCTGTTACCATAAATATTAGAGCTGGACTAGACTTTAAAGATCATGTATTCCAGATCTGTTTTACAGTTAACAAAATACAAGATCAAATGATTACAGACACCTTGTCTTTCCATTAAGTGTTAATGGAATTTCTAATACCCTATGTGTTAACCACCTACAAAATTCAGTTACCTGTTTGATGTCAAATTGTTAAGTTTGTTTTCTATTTGTTGATAGGTCTGTTTTGTTCTCACCTCAATAGTTTTTAACAGGAATTGAGGTGGTTTACAATAACATCATAATGGAAGTATGAATTTAAAATTAATCCACATGTAGGAGAACACAATAAGTATAGAAACTATTGGTGTTGTTAGTAATAAGGATGCCTATTGCCAAATAAATGCATTATATGAATATTGATATGACTTTTGAAGTTACCTTATTTTGTTGTTGTTGTTAGATACTATCGAGTCAGTTTGGATTCGTAGGACCCTATGCAGAACAGAAAGAAACACTGCCCAATCCTGTCTCAACCTCACAATCATTGCTGTGTTTGAGTCCATTGCTGTGGCCACTGTGCCAATCCATCACGTTGGGGGTCTTCCTCTTTTTGTCCGACCCTCCACTTTACCAAACAAAGTATCCTGCTCCAGGGACTGGTCCCTCCTGATAATATGTCTGAAGTATGAGAGATGAAGTCTGGCTAGCCTAGCTTCCAAGGAGCACTCTGGCTATACTTCTTCCAATACAGGTCTGTTTGTTCTTTTGGCAGCTCATGGTACTTTCAATATTCTCCTCTAACACCATAACTCAAATGCATCAATTCGTCTACGGTCTTCCTTATACATTGTCCAACTTTCTCATGCATATGAGGTTATTGAAAATGCCATGGCTTGGGTCAGGTGT